AAGTCCCTCCATTTTAGCTAAGCCAGATTAGATGCTCCATTGTTCGGGCTGACCTTTAAACTCTGCAAATAGCCTTCCATTGCCAAAGAATAGATTAATCAAAAACCAGGTTTTTCAAGAATTACAACTGAACAGTTTCCAGGAATCACAACTGGGCGGTTTACTCCAGAAACTGCAGCCAGGTCAAAGTATGGCGAAACCGGCTGTGACAGTTAGATGACTAAGATAAATCTCCCACGCAAACCCCTGACCATGCCCAAATAATAGCCAATAAATTTAAAGTATTACATTTTATAATATCCAATAATAAGTTAAAATTATAGGCCAATAAAATCAACAAAAATTATAAAAAAGCCAATAAAATAAAGAGAATTTCAAGCCACCCAAACCCTATAAAAATAGTCTAATTTAGTGGGTCAGGACTTCCAGTTTAAAGCGGCTGTGTCGGTGACACTGGGAGTCCAGGCTCAAGCTTACAATAAACTCCTCGTATATTTACATCAGAAGAGTTTCCTGGTGGTCTTCTTAGGGATTTTGTGACTTAGACACAACAGTGAGGAGATTCCTCAAAAAAGCTAAAACTAGAAATTCTATTAGACCAGCTATCTCTTCTAGATATCATCTCAAAAATGTGAACGTCATCATATTACAGGTATATATGCATACTCATGTTTAGAGTAGCACAGTGTCTCAGAGGTGGGTCTTCAAAATAGGATATATATCCATCAACAGATGAATAGATTTAAAAAGTCTAGTAAATGATGTCAATGTAGTCAATAGAGTTTTATTAAACTATAAGGAATGATAGACATGAGGCATTTGTAGCTAAATGAATGCTATTTGAGAACATAATGTTAAGTGATTTAAGTCAGACACACAAACTTAAGTATCACCTGGTTTCTGCCACAGGAGACACTCAAGAAATAAACATGAAGTAGGTTGAAGTTCAAATTTCCAAATTATTCTGTTCTACAAGTATTTTAAGATATATGCTAATGTGTTCGTTTTTATTTGAATAGTTTTTTTTGGTGGGGGGGTTCATTGAAAAGAAAGTTGTAGCCTGGTATGGTGGTGCATGCCTCTAATCCCAACATTTGGGAGGCTGAGGCAGGAATTCAAGGGCAGTCTGAGACCTTGTCTCAACCAAAAAATAAAAAATAAGAAAGTTTTGTCCTTTTGTTTCTTCTTTTTAAAAGAGTCTTTTTTGTCTATGAATTTTAGACACTTTTTTTTTTTTTTGAGACAGGGTCTTGCTACATGGTTCAGGCTGGCTTGAACTCAGAGTAGCCTGGACTGGCTTTGGACTCGGTGATCCTCCTGCCTCAGTTTCCCAGTGCTGAGATGATAGGCATGTGCCATCACACCCAGCCTGTACTATACTTTTTGTCATACTTTCAAGGGCATGATTGGAGTATAGTATTATTATTCCTTAATTGTTATAAAATATAATTTCATTTTTATAGAATAGTGCTGTTTCTTTTTTTATTAATATCTAATTGTATTACATTAAAATATGTGGCAGTGCAGCCATCACAACACGAACGTACCTGAGTTGGGGAGTGAGGATTGAGAAAGGACAGCACACTCAATAGTGTGGAGACAAAAGGTCTGATTTATTTCACAGAAACAGCTCCTTCTAAAGGCACACCAACAGGAAGCACCAAGCAACCATTCGTATGCAAATGTTATGCCCAAATCGCGAAGTCCCCAAAGACCACCAAGGAGTCAGGTCCGATGCAATTGCAAGAGGAGTTTACTGCAAACTCAAGCCTGGACTCTCAGGTGTCACCGTCACAGCGGCTTCAGACTGAGAGCCCAGTGTAAGACCTAAAGTCTCACTTCCACTCCACGGAGCGTGAACAGCCAAAAAGGCCTCCACAATGCTGGGCCCAATACCCAGCGAGGCTCCAGGAGCTCGACAGAGAATGAGAAACCCAGGAGGGAACACACCAGGCTAGACTGTAAAGAGACCTTTATTAGTCTGGCCAGATGGCACTCTCAGAACCAAGTGGTTGGCTCAGAGAGGCACCTAGCTCAGGGGCCGAGGTGGTCTTATAGGGAGTAAAGGAGGGGGTTAACATTTTTGGGCTCACAGACAGGGGACAAAGGTCTGCTGACTTGAGCTGGTGGTCAGCAGTCACATATTGATGAGTAACAGGTACCACCTATAGGATGTCTCAAAGGTCACTAAGACACTCCGGATGAGCAAACAGTTTGTCAATTAGCTTGGGCTCTATGTCTGGAGTCTCTAATTTACAAGTAGATTCAGATCCGGACTCCAAACAATACAAGAGTGATTCACATTCTTAGGCCAGGGCTGGAACAAAGGTCGGGGCTGTGGCTACAATGGGAGGGGTTCAGGACACTGTCTCCTAGGCCCTTTGCCATTTAGCAAGGGCTTGTAATTTAGGTCCCACACCAGATCCATTTTTGAAGTGGGTTTATATAGGATTAAGAAAACTTTTTGCTTATATAGTTTCTATTTTTAGCTCTCACTTATCATTGGATAATTAAGGGGTACTGGGAGGGCTTTTACATATCATTGGATAATCAAGGGGCACCGGGAGGGCACTTATTGGAAAATTACCTAATGCCTACATTCGCAAAATCAATTCCTCTTTTTATTAGATCGTCTGATTTTGCAAGCTAAGATATCAGTAGGTGGCTATCTATGTCAGCTATAATTAATTCCTATGTCAACTATAACTAATTCCTATATTAATTAAATCAAACAGAAAATAATTCATCTTGGGATCTTAAAAGAGGAACAGAAACAGGGTGGAGATGCCCTAGGATACTTTGCCCTTAAAGAGGAACAGAAACAGACAGACTGTCACATAGAATGGAATTTTACAGAAAGGAATTTTTGCATTTACTCTATTTTGGGTAAGGGGCATGGAGCCCACCTTGACCTGAAAATTTGGTCTTCACACAAAGACCGTATTTTCTGACTCTTACAGAGAAGATCAGATCTTTGGCTAACTCTGAGTTCCTCCCATCGCAGGGTCAAAGAACAAATTTAACAAGGTCCTTGAGCCGGGCGTGGTGGTGCACGCCTGTAATCCCATAAAACCAGCCTGGATTACACAGTGAGTTCCAGGTCAATCTCATCTGCATAGCTGAGGCCCTGTCTCGGAAAAGCCAAATAAACAAACAGACAAGAGTCATAGATTGTATCAATGCCTCAATGGTAGAAGAAGAAGTTATTTTTCCAATGTCAAATGCCAGCGGGCCGTGGCCGGCTCCCAGAAAAATAAAAATTTAAAGTTAAAGAGAAAAACCTATTCAAGCTAACAATCATATTCTGTCAAGCGCATTTCCTAAAGCTAATGTTAATGATTTTAATTCCCTGCTTTTGTTTTTTTGGGCTCACAGACAGGGGACAAAGGTCTGCTGACTTGAGCTGGTGGTCAGCAGTCACATATTGATGAGTAACAGGTACCACCTATAGGATGTCTCAAAGGTCACTAAGACACTCCGGATGAGCAAACAGTTTGTCAATTAGCTTGGGCTCTATGTCTGGAGTCTCTAATTTACAAGTAGATTCAGATCCGGACTCCAAACAATACAAGAGTGATTCACATTCTTAGGCCAGGGCTGGAACAAAGGTCGGGGCTGTGGCTACAATGGGAGGGGTTCAGGACACTGTCTCCTAGGCCCTTTGCCATTTAGCAAGGGCTTGTAATTTAGGTCCCACACCAGATCCATTTTTGAAGTGGGTTTATATAGGATTAAGAAAACTTTTTGCTTATATAGTTTCTATTTTTAGCTCTCACTTATCATTGGATAATTAAGGGGTACTGGGAGGGCTTTTACATATCATTGGATAATCAAGGGGCACCGGGAGGGCACTTATTGGAAAATTACCTAATGCCTACATTCGCAAAATCAATTCCTCTTTTTATTAGATCGTCTGATTTTGCAAGCTAAGATATCAGTAGGTGGCTATCTATGTCAGCTATAATTAATTCCTATGTCAACTATAACTAATTCCTATATTAATTAAATCAAACAGAAAATAATTCATCTTGGGATCTTAAAAGAGGAACAGAAACAGGGTGGAGATGCCCTAGGATACTTTGCCCTTAAAGAGGAACAGAAACAGACAGACTGTCACATAGAATGGAATTTTACAGAAAGGAATTTTTGCATTTACTCTATTTTGGGTAAGGGGCATGGAGCCCACCTTGACCTGAAAATTTGGTCTTCACACAAAGACCGTATTTTCTGACTCTTACAGAGAAGATCAGATCTTTGGCTAACTCTGAGTTCCTCCCATCGCAGGGTCAAAGAACAAATTTAACAAGGTCCTTGAGCCGGGCGTGGTGGTGCACGCCTGTAATCCCATAAAACCAGCCTGGATTACACAGTGAGTTCCAGGTCAATCTCATCTGCATAGCTGAGGCCCTGTCTCGGAAAAGCCAAATAAACAAACAGACAAGAGTCATAGATTGTATCAATGCCTCAATGGTAGAAGAAGAAGTTATTTTTCCAATGTCAAATGCCAGCGGGCCGTGGCCGGCTCCCAGAAAAATAAAAATTTAAAGTTAAAGAGAAAAACCTATTCAAGCTAACAATCATATTCTGTCAAGCGCATTTCCTAAAGCTAATGTTAATGATTTTAATTCCCTGCTTTTGTTTGAAATTCTAGAATTTATCAATATTTTGTCTCGTGAGGGATGTGACTGTTTTGAGGCGACGAAAGGCTTTAACCAATAAATCAGTGAGGGGTTTGTTTACAACCTTTAAAAATGAAATTAAAATTCAAAAAATATATTACCCTTCCATTCTGGACCAGCAGCGCTACAAAGCAGGAAATCCGGGCTGAGAACGCCTGTGGGTGGAACCCTTTGGTCCCCAGTGAGACAGGAGAGCAATGGTTTCTCCTGTCAATCAGGACTCAGAGGTCGGCGTCCTGAATCTCTAGCCAATCAGACTTCAGTATAGGGCGAGGTGAACTGTCCAATGAGAGGCGCTTTTCTTTAACTTCTCTTCTGGCGCACTTGGTTTGAGACTGGGACTGAGCAGTCTTGTGGCATCGTGTGTTACGCTGTGAACTCTGAGGACTTCAAAGGCTCTAGCGAGGACCCCAGGACACCCCGGAACCCCGGCATGGTAGTGTGAAGCGGGGCATCGGGGATCGCGGGCGCGGGGCGCTTAGCACAGGCGGGAAGCGGCGGGACGACCC